TACTTTCATTTTTGGAATGAACAGTTCCTTTTATTATTTCTCAAAATGAATATATTCCTCATAGAGAATTTGATTCTCTGTCTCTTGCCCAGAAATTTGGCAGTCAGTCTGCTGAAACTGGGCCCAAAATGCCAGATTTTATTCCTAACCACAGTGACTCAGACTGTCAGATGCCTTTGGGTTTGACCAGACACTAGAGAAACCTGCACTGTAATTCTTGGCTAGAAATAAGAAACAATGGCTCTGGAAAGTTTGGGGACCTTACCTCAAGTTTCATTGTTGTAAACTACATTATACTAAGAAAACATCTGTTACTGTAGTTTTAACTACAGCCTGTACACATATTCCTTTCAGCCAGCTCCAGAACTAATTCCAAATGAACACAGCAATGCATCATCAGCTGTGCAGAGAACCTTTGGAGGGCTGTGAGGGAGTGTGCATACCTGTGGGTCTGCAAGAAGCAACACCGCAATGCTAAGCGCTAGGAGAGCAGGGTTGGACTGTTTAGCAGAGAGCATGATTCTTGGAGATCAAGGTCATGGGTTTGATCCACTCATGTGGGCCAGTTCGCTTTACTCTGGTTCATGATAATAGGTTATACCCATGAGCCTGGATAGTTACCTTCAAAGCGTATGGCATTGGTCATAAAATGGACTTGGCAAGGAAGTATGGGTGGATAAGAGTCTCCATTACCACTCTTACAAAACCATTGTAAAGCGCATGTCCTACAGAGAGTGGATCTTTGTAAAGGAAAGACAGCAGGAAAAAGGTTTCAAGAAGAATCACTTGTTTATAAAATACACCCAAGATAATAGCTGGCACTGGCGTCAATGTGCTTTCTGCACTGCTGCTTTCTCTAAAAAGCTGTACTTACTCAACTCATGCACTTGAAGGAGGCATGCATAAATGTAAATTTTACCTGGCTTTCATACTAGGATAGGAGGAAAAAAGAAAGAGAACATTTACTCATAAATGCATTCCATTTAGGGGACAAGAAAACAGTTTTATTAATCTCTGAATACTGGATGGATACTGATCAACAAGGAAAAATAAGCACAAAACCTGCCAGTGAACAAATATATGACTGTGCCCCTCCCCCATCACACCCCACAGGTAAATTGTAGGAATGATATTATTGCTTTTCAATACTATTTGCTCTGAAAATTTATGCCTTAATTTAGTTGTTTATTATCGTTCGGATAGGATTTCTTAACCTTTTTTTTTTGTATCAGGGACTCCTTTGATAATCTAATGAATAATAATAGCAGAAGATTTTCAAAGTGCTTTACATATATTATCTCATTTCATTCTTACAACCCTGTGTAAGAAGTGCTATGATTATCCCTATTTTGCAAATGAGAGAACAAAATTTGAGAAAGGTCACATGATTTACTTAGGGTCACATAGCTAGGCAGGATTAGAAATCAGGTCTTCCCTGACTTCAAGTTTAAATAATGCCACTGAACGAGCACCTAGTGGTGCACCCTGGTGAACCTATGGAGCCCTTTCCAGAATACTGTTTGTAAATGCATAAAATAAAATATGTAGGATTGCTTTTAAAGGAAACCAATTATATTGAAATATAGTTATCATAATATTTTTTAAAGGCTCTTCAACCTGAGGTTAAGAACCCCTCTTCTGAAGAGTAGTTGTAGATGGATCCATCTCTGTTGTTAAAGATTCACTGATATCTTGTAGGTATTAACTTTTCAAGAAGCCTGAGGCCATCAATACCTGTACACATAAATACTCTATGCCCCACGATGTATATCTTGCACGATATCACATCAGTTGGATCACAGTAGACAAATTATGTGTCTGAAAGTTGCTCTCTGAACAATCACAACTGTGTGTCTAAAGGCTATTTTGAAAAAATGTGACAAGGGATGAATTCATTATTATAAAGTGCTACACTAGAAAATAGTGATTTTTAATCTAGAAAATATATATATTAGGGATGTAATTAATGAAGTCAACTAACAGACCTATTTCTTCTCACCTTCTCAAGCTCTTCATCATAGTTAAGTTTCTGCAAGGTCACTGTGGGGTTGTGAAAAGGTGGGTGTCATCACTGTGTTCAAATGGAACTGGCTCAGATGAACAGGCCTATTCTGGCTATGTTTCATTCATTCCTGATAGAATGTAGTTATAGAACTTGTGACATGTGATTTTTAAACTCTTGAAGAAATGATAGGAATTCTCAAGTGGTAGAAAATTACAGTAGCTTGACAAATTCACTAAATATTTAAATATATTTGAATTCCAATTGCTTTTCTTATGAGACATTTTAAAAATTCATTATAACATTTGCTAGTTAACAGGATCTCAATACACTACACTGTGATCATTATACCTGTCTATGCTTAGCTATGGTGAAGTAGTGGTATTCAAGGTCACCTCCAGTTCCAATCGTGTAAAATAGAATGAACAACTTGGAAGCAAGTGTGTGTGTGTGTGTGTGTGTGTGTGTGTGTGTGTTTATGGATGGGTATGTGTGTGTGCGTGTATGTGACTCAAGTTTCATGTTGATTTTTATAGTGTGGAAATGATCACCACCTCTACAGCTCTCAGCTACATTCTGCCAGACTCTCTTCTTTCTATCCCCCTATTAATTGCCACCAAAAACTATCTTAAAATCTCTCTGACATCTAAAGTGACCTTTAATCATAGAAGGTTGGAGGGAGGTCTCTAGCACCTATGACGAAGGCTGTGCTCCTGAAGATTTCCATTAAGAATTTCATTTAATTCTATTACTTTATCCTCCATTCAATTCAAAGTATTTAATGAGTACCAATAGCATTTTATAGTTTCTCCTCTTACAATATTCGTCAGGAATACTGCAAATACATTCAACCACATAAGAAATATATTTTGCAATTTTTTCTGGGTCATGAAATGTATATTAAACAAAAGCATTTTCAGCTAAAAATAGTTTCCTAGTCTGTCAGTGAACACATATATACAAAACAAAAAGCAAAATTATTGACATGAAGACAAGAAAAATCAGAATGGTCTGAGTAGAACTAATAAGAGAGCTCCAATGCTCCATTATGATGCTATTGAATGTCAGAAATATATACGGTACCCATAGAATACTGAATAATTTTCAGAACATTGAGCAATTTCTAGTCACTGTGCTATTATAGCCAGTGAATGTGAAAAGAGAATAACAGCAATGATAATGTCCTAAATTTTAATCAAGAGTACAGTTCTTTTCATCAGGTGAATTTAGGGAAACAAGTCAACAAAAATATCAAATGTATGCACTGGCTTCTGAGGTCTCATATTGGATTAACATGCATGATGGTTTCTGACTATCCCCTTCAAAAAGTCAAAGAGATAAGATGTTCCTAAGTCACTAACTGATAAATACTATAATTAAAATGCAAAGTTCTATTAGATTTAAAAGCCACCTATGAAAACTCATCCTCAGTTTGAACTTGAACAAAAGAATCCTTTGTCAACACTTTTGAGCAGCATTACCTCAGGTTTCTCAGGGTTGGCAAACCACCAAAATATATCTTGTCATCTGCTTTCAAGTCAAGGCCAAAATTATTTCCCAAAGATGTTGTTGCTATGTTTTCCTCCTGGTTAGTATCGATGTCTACAATAGAGACGTTGGCTTGAAGAGATGAAAAAAAAAATTAAAATTTTAAATAATCAACATTGATAATATCTAATTTCCCCTCTACTACCTCTAAGGAAAATCACTTTCATACTCAGCCTGTATAGTAGTAGCTTTCCCAATCTATATTATTACAGCCATTTGCCAAACAATAACAATATTCTTAAGGAGAAGCAGAGTGTGGTCTAATGGATAAAGGGCTGGCCTTGGAGGCAGGAATCCTGGGGTTCAAGTTATATCTCTGACAAAAATGAGCTGTGGGACCATAGGCAAATCACTTTACCACTCAAACTCTCAGGCAAGTCTTTAAGCCTGTAAATTGTATAGGACTTGCTGGCAATCTGTTTTAGTGAAGGGAATTTCATAGGATCGTAGATTTTTAAACTAGAAGGGCCCTTTGAGGCTGTTGAGTCCAACCTCTCCATTTTGCAGATGAAAAAACTGAGGCTAAGAGAGTTTAAGTGGATTACTCAGGTTCACAAAGATACTAAGAGTGTAAAGGTAGGATTTAAACTCAGGTCCTTCTGACTCTAAGCCCAGAACTGTGCAACCTAGCCACCAGATGGGAATTTCCCCAAACCCGAAAAAAGCAGAGATCCAAGTCAGTGCCTCCCTCTCAGAAGAAACAAACAAGCAAACAAATCCTCCACAGAAGGTATTAGTTAATGTCTCATCATTGTGGCAATGACCCTGGTTCTTGAAGGCTATGTGTGGCAGAGGAACACAAGCTCTCTGTGCTATTGTGCTATAAAGATCAAGCCAAAGAATATGACTCTCATCTGACAATCTGGCTTAGCAAAGAGCTAAGAGTAGATCACTGCTAGAGGGATGGCCCCGAGAGGAAGCTTTTCTTGGGCTGTAGGAACTCAGAGAACAGTCTGTTAAGGCCTAGAGAGTTTGCAGCCTCATTGTGGAAAGAATAGTTATTTTGATCAAATCAGTGATTCTTAAAATATTTCAATATAATAAATATATAGATATAAATGCATTAGACACCCACATCATTACTGGTAGGGGAGGATAAGAACAGCTTCCCAGGAAACTGCTTATAGGGAAAATAGGACAAATCAATGAGAGAGGATGATGATGATGATGATGATGATGATGATGATGATGATGATAACAATGATGGGAAAAATCAATTATGTGATTTTTACAGCTTACACAGCCTTTTCTACATATTATGTCATTTGAGATTTTTCATTTGGAGATCAAAGATCCATTAGGCTATAACCTAGTCTATGATTTATGTATCTTTGTTTGGAATATAATAAGCTTATGGTACTTTAAGGAGTTTCTTTAACCCAGGTTCAACAATGAGGCATTTCTTGAATTTCCCAGAAGAACCTGAAGTATAACATATATTCTATTACAGACAATCTCTGACTTCCAGTCATACTTGAAATGGCCACTCAAGAAAGGTAGGTGGACACAGAATACCCCACTCCTTTCCTCTTCCTACTTCCAATCTCTTATGCCTGGGGTAATCCTCAGCTCCTACCTTGTTCCTGTTTCTCATGTGGTCCAGGGGAACTTGAGTCTAAGATAACAGAGCTGGTAGTGATAAGGAATGGGAGGATGAGTGATGCTAAATCCTTCTTGGCCTGAACTGTTGCCTCCCTCTCTAGCCCTAGAAGAGTATCCCCATTCTCCAGCCTCTTTCCTCACTGCTTCTGTCACCCAGTCCCTGTCATGCTCTATTCTCACTCAGAGAGTCTGAACTCTGGTGAGAGAATGTTCCCTGTAACTTAGGCCTAGTTTTCCTTTGAGGTATAGCTATACCATTAGCATCGACGTACTATTCTGTTTTAGTTTTTAAGTGAAAAAAAGAAAAGATTGGGGAGGAAGGGTGCAGAATTCCCCCACTGTTCCTTATTTTTTTGAACCCCTGTTTCCCTATTATTTGGGGAAGGGATTAAGTATTTACCTAGCACCTACCATGTACCAGGCACTATGCTCGGCACTTTATAAATATTACCTCATTTGATCTTCACAACAACCTCACAAGGGAAATGGTATTGTAATGACCATTTTACAGTTGAGGGAACTGAGGCAAACAGAGATTTGTCCATGCACACACAGATGGTAAGTTTCTGAGGCTACATTTGAACTCAGATCTTTCCAGGCCCTGTACTCCATCCATTGCACCACTTAGCTACCTCTAACAGCAATAAAATCAGTAGCAATAAAAATCTACCCCACTCCCAATAACATTTCCCCAAATCACCAAAAGAGCTTCTAAAGAACTGCAAAATTGTATGATTATTTACACATTGTAGAAATACTAGAATACAGATTCTGCTCATGAATGTTGTACTAAAAGAATGGCTGTTCAAAAAATAATTGCTGAATGGATAGGAATTGGCGATCATAGATCTTGGGCTGGATCTGGACGTGGCCTCAGAAGCCATGTAGTTCAGCCCTTCATTTTACAGATGAGGAGACTGAGCCTCAGGGAAGTTAAATAAATTGCCCAAGTAGTCACCTTGTGAATATATCTGTGAAATTAGACTGCTAAAACAGAACTGCTCCTCTTCAGATCATCAAAGTAATGCTGCATATGGGCTGTGGATACCATAGAGAAACAGCCTCCTTTTACAGAATTTAACCTTTTAATGGCTTTGTTCAAAGAGTATTCTACCTGTAGTTTGGAACTTGAGTCACTGGAGAGAATTCTCTTCTTTATCCTTGATTATGTGTGTCAATTTAATAATAATAGCTAGGATTTATAAAGTGCTTTAAGGTCTTACAAAATGCTTTACATATATTTTCTCAATTGGTCCTCATTATAACAACTTTTCATGTGAAATATGGGTAAAGAAGGAGATAGTAGGGGAAGATGTCTGACTGATTTAAGACAAAGAGGAGGAGAGAAGAGAGAGCTCTCAGTGAACAGATTTCATTTTTTCCTGGGAAGTAAGAAGCAAAGTCCTCAGCTGAGAAGGTGAGGGAAGAAAGTGCCTTGGGAGGCTTGAGAAAGGACAGAAAGCTTTGACACAGCTGTTGTGATAACTAAGAGAGTGAATTGATTAGAGAGGTGTAAAAGGATTGCCATGCTGCAGTGAGAGCCCAGTGGAGTTATATAACTTAAATTTGTAGTGGACCCATTTAGCACAATTTCATGATTTTCTCCAGCTTTGTATGGTATTACTTTAATAGCAACCAAGATGGTAGATCACAGTAGTAATCCAAAGTTGGGATTTGGCAAAGTGCGATGGGCCACAGGACAAAGGGGAAAGGGACTATAATGTAGAGAAGACTGTGGAGTTGAACTGATTCACCATGAAGCTGAGATAAGGAAGGAAGAGCATAGCCAGTGTAGGGTGATGGCCTAGGAGTGAACCGAGGGGTGAAGAGAATGAAGGTAACAATAAGGTTGAAAAACTGACTTTATGGTTGTAAGTCTGAAAGAAAATTAGGAAAATAAAAGATTATGATAAAGAAATTTTGGAGTTTACTTTTTTCTTTTTTTTTAATTTTTAGGCAATTGAGGTTAAGTGACTTGCCTAGGGTCACACAGCTAGTAAGTATCAAGTGTTCGGTCTGTGGCCAAATTTGAACTCAGGTCCTCCTGACTTCAAGGTCAGTGCTCTATCCACTGCACTACCTAGCTGCCCCCTAGAATTCATGAACACAGAAGTAGAACACTTATGGATACATTTATAAGATAGATCATTACATAGCACTTCTAGGGCTATATCCCAAAGAGATCAAACAAATGGGAAAAGGACCCACATGTACAAAAATATTCATAGCAGCTCTTTTTGTGGTGGCAAAGAATTGAAAATTGAGAGGATGCCCATCAACTGGGGAATGGCTGAGCAAGTTGTGGTATATGAATGTAATGGAATACTATTGCGCTATAATAAATGATGAACAGGCTAACTTCAGAAAAACCTGGAAAGACTTATATGGTCTGATGCTGAGTGAAGTGAGCAGAACCAAGAGGACTTTGTACACAATAACAGCCACATTATGCAATGACTAATATTGTTAAACTGAACCCTTCTCAGCATTACAAGGATCTAAGACATCTCCAGAGGCCTCGGGATGGAAAATGCTGTCCACATCCAAAGAAAGAACAAGTCGAATCGCTCTCACTTATTTTTACCTTCTGTTGAGTTTTGTTTCATCTTTCTGATGGTTCCTCCTATTGGTTTTAATTTGTACTTACAACTTCACTAATGTGAAAATATGTTTAATAGGAATGTAAATGTAAGGCTAATATCAGATTGTGCGCCATCTTGGGGAGGGTGGGGGGAAGAAGGGGGAGAAAAATTTTCAACTCAAAAGCATATGGAAGTGATTGTTGATAAATCAAAATAAATTAATAAAATTTTTTAACAAAGATAAATTATTACATCTGGAAAAGATTTTAGAGAACATCTATCTAGGCCAATCTCTTCATTCTACATATGAGGAAACTGAGGCTGAGAGTTCCATGATTTATCCACAATCATATAGCAAAGTAAGATATAGGGGCAGAATTTGAATCCAGACCTGAGAACTATAAATTCATTATTCTTTCTCCTATATCCCAATATATTAGGCAAAAAAGTGAAATTAAGATTTTACCTCAAAAACTCTTAAATTTTGCTGAAAATTTAAAACTACTTGACCTATAATGTGCACTGATTTATAAAGCCTGGGGCCTAGTAAATGTCAGTTAAAATATTTTTTAGCTTTCTTTCTGTATCCTGTTTGGTTTGGGATCTTATTGGGGACTTATGTGTTGAAGGGAATTTATTAAACATTTCAACTACAACTGTTGCCTTAGACAACATTTAGGCATTTGATCATTTCCTTGAGACTTTGGACTTTAAAAAAAAATGGAATAAGGAACAAGGATCACTGGCCTACTGCCCTGGAAATTCTTCCTAGTGGCCCTGGATTCATGGACATTTTCTCTACTAACTTTCTAGAGAGAGCCTAATCTTGGAACTACCTGAAAAAACATTTTTCAAACCTATTACAGGATGTAATTTTGTAAGTTATGAAACAGTTTTATGCCTGAGAATTAAGCTCTGAGTTTCAAAAGAAAATGACAGAAGAGCCATTTGACACTTCAATCAGTCACATCTAACCCAAACCACCTGTAATAATCTAAGCAGAAGAATTGGCTGTATCATTTTTTTATAGAACTTCTGAGACCTGACAATCATGGACACCATCTTCCTTGAGATTAGATGGTGAGTTTCACTAAATGGGATAATTAAAGTACTTGGGGTGCTATCACTATAAAAACTCACCTTGTTTTTGAATTCTTGACAGGGTGAAGGATTTCCATTTTCCATCATTATGGTTTTGGTTGCTGATAACAGAAGCAATGCCTGAACCCAGATCATAGCTGACTTTTATGTGTCCATCAGTGAGTTCTACACTCATAAAATCTTTCTGTTTACAATGCCAAAAATACCAGTGATTAGACAAACACACACATAAAAATATGGGTTTTTGCATTTACTGAGGAATTTGTGACAGTTATGGTTTCTTTTCTGAATTTCTATGCCACATTAGAAAAAAAGTTCTTATGGAGCAGGATGTACCCATTTGTAGGTGTGAAATATGCTTGCTAATGATGTAAAATGCTATGATGAAGCTATTTCGACAGGTCTTATTGAAAGTAAAGCCTACTCTTAGCATAAACAAAGCACTTTGGAAAGAATACCAAGCAAGCCATTAGGTTATCATTTAGTATCCTAGAAGAATAATTATCCATGTGGGTATCTTGAGAGGTATGTGAATAATTGAACAGACATCTAGCTCAGAGTAGTGGCTTAGCTTTAAAAAGATTGCAAACCAGAGTACACTGTAGTCTGTTACATTCTTATTGTAAAGGAATAGGTTGTGATTTGGAAAATCACATTAAATTTATGTTTGGAATTATAGCTACTGGAGCAAAGTAAATTCTTTTTACTATTAGCATCATCTATGACTGGGTGCTACACAACAAATCTATTCTCCTTTTCTTGTCTTATTTTATTCTAATTAAAATGACCCATGACATTTGTGAGCTGTGTAGTCTAATCAATGAATGTGTGTGTGTGTGTGTGTGTGTGTGTGTGTGTGTGAGAGAGAGAGAGAGAGAGAGGAGAGAGAGAGAAAGAGAGAGAGAGAGAAGAGAGAGAGAGAGAGAGAGAGAGAGAGAGAGAGAGAGAGAGAGAGAGAGAGAGAGATTTTTTTTTTACCAGATCTCGGGTGGCAAGGTACATCAGGAGAGCACTTGAGGAAAAGGTCCTGAACTTGAACATGACTGTAGAGATATTGGGGTACCAGCGTATGGGGCGGCTGACTAAAGCATAGCCTTCTCCATCAAACTGAATTGTACCCTCACTGTCTTCTACCTGTGGACTAGAAAGGGAAAAAATCTATTAGTCAAGATATTCACCATTCTAATGCAACATACACTGATTGTGAACTCTTGGAGGCCAGGGACCATGTGTTATATATTTCATATATAAGTACTTAGCATGGTGCTTCCCACTTAATAGGCATTCAGTAAGGATTTTTTGAATAAATGAATGAATGAATAATATACCATGTAAATATTATTTTAAATGGTCCTGATTCAATGGAGAGGCTATACATATGGGATGGGCTAGAAGAAGGAAAGAAAGGGACCAAGAAGAAAGAAAACCAACAA